ATCATGCAGAAACTTGAAATGAGGTATTTATCATCCATCTTCACTGGGTAGAACATTCAGATTCAGGGCAGTGGCAAGACTGTGTGCTGGTTTAGGCTGGGATAGAGTTAATTTTCTTCACAGTAGCTAGTATGGGGCTCTGTTTTGGATTTGTGCTGAAAACAGTGTTGATAACAGAGGGATGTTTTCGTCCCTGCTGAGCAGTGCTGACACAGCGTCAAGGGCTTTTCTGCTTCTCACGCCACCCCACCAGCGAGGAGGCTGGGGGGGCACAAGGGGTTGGGAGGGGACACAGCTGGGACAGCTGACCCCAACAGACCCAAGGGGTATTCCAGACCATATGACATCATGCTCAGCATGTAAAGGTGGGGGAAAGAGGAGGAAGGGGGGGACATTCGGAGTGATGGCGTTTGTCTTCCCAAGTCACCGTTAGGCGTGACGGAGCCCTGCTTTCCTGGAGATGGCTGAACACCTGCCTGCCCATGGGAAGTGGTGAATGAATTCCTTGTTTTGCTTTGCTTGTGTGTGCAGCTTTTGCTTTACTTAAACTGTCTTTATCTCAACCCACGAGTTTTCTCACTTTTCTGATTCTCTCCCCCATTTTACCGGGGGCTGAGTGAGCAAGTGCCTGTGTGGTCCATAGTTGCTGGCTGAGGTTAAACCACGACAGACTGATAAAAAGATGCTTGAAGAGAGACTAGGATTTACACTAGAAAACAAGACATATAGCTGGTGCAACTATAGAACATAAATCAATGCACTGGTCAAAATTAAGCCCAAAGAGCTGAAAATGAGAGTATAGGGCAGAATTCATTCTGGCAAATAAGACTGAATTCTGCATCCTGTGAAAATAACGCTAGTATAGTGTAGAAGCGAAATAGCAGAATTGTGTGGGTCACTAAGATTGGCTTTTTGATAGTCAGAGGACATAGGAAATGTGGCCAAAGTGCTTGTTTAAGGAACATGTCTTCCTCTGTCAATCACTCCCACCTTTGTGAGCAAGTAGGGCTGCTCCTTCAGATGTGCTGACACAGGCTGTTGGTAGGGCCATAATGTGAAGTGAACCAGGGTATTCCTAAATAACTTTTATTTTACATTTTTACCTTGGATACATTCAGGTATCAAGTTCCTGACACTGACCCCTGGACAAGCAGAGTTAGAAAAATGGAAGACTCTGATGCATGGCTCTAAGAAGCTCTTTTATGAGGTAATGCTGCTGAAACCCCTGTATAATGAGATCATCTCTTCAAACTGAGAAGCTCTTTTGGGCAGAACATACCAGTGTTTCTGTCCAGTCTCTTAACTGGATTTGGAAACACTGCCTCCCCAGTCCCCTCTCCCCCCAGCAGCAGGGCTGGCTTGAGCATCTCCTTAATCCCCTCACCTGATTCCCATCTCAGTCTTTATCACACTGCCACTGTGCACAAGGAATAAATGGGGCCGCATGGAGAACCAACCAGAAAAGCAGCGAAGTAACCCAGAAAAGATAAATAAGATAAAAAAAATGAAAAGGAGCAGAGGGGATGATTATAGCTGGATCAGAGCTTTAACTCATTCTCAGCATGACAAATAGACAAAGACAACACATTGGTAGTGCAGGAGCAGTAAACACCTCAAGCCTGTAACTGCAGTTGAGGACTTTATCAAGAGAAACCACGGCATATATCTTAGCATTAAATGTATTTTAAAATCAACTGCACAAACATACTTCATAGAAGATGCATGCAAATATTCACTGATGGATGTTGAGTGCAATCAGACAACACTGGGTAATACTTGAGTTAGAAATAACTGACTTGCCCCTTCCTCCCTTATCTTTCTCACATCTATTTCTAAGGGATATAACAACAATACTCAACACCACTCAATTTACTACACAGTGATAAAACAGAATCAATCTCCTCCTCTTCGGTCTTACCTAACCTAGCTGTGAGAAGTCTTGAACTGACGCAAATGCATCTATTTATATCAAATAGAGCAGGTGATGTAAGCAGTGGAGTTCCTCTTCCTCTGTAGAGATAATACCTTTACTTAAAAGAGCAGACAAAGGCAAAACATTTCTATGGGGTTTTTTTTTCCTCTCTTCCACCCCTCAGATTTTAAAGTGTTTTCTAAATCACAACTGTAAGGATTATAAGACTCTTTCCAGATTTATTTTAGCTTCCACAAGGGAGAAGCCTAACTCTTCCATCTTCTCTTAATAATCACACCTTAAGAGAAGATCTGCTTCAGACAGACTGTTTGCATGCTTTCCCTTATTATGTCCAGCAGCACAATACAGGGAATCCAAGGCTGCTCACTGATTTAACTTTATTTCTGTCAAATTACTTTTCCCCCTGGTTATTTTTAAACATTGGAAAGCCATAGCTATTCTTAGAGGACAATTAATGGATCATTTCCTTTGCGTTATAGCCATATTTTGGCATGCAGGTTTTGTGCTGGTTTGGTTTTTTTCCTGGCTGCAGCATTTGGCACCACTTTAAATGTTGCGGTACCCGTGCTAGGCTCAAGGACTCCATGATGTGAGTAAATCAGCATTTTGCATAAATTTACTCTTCGAATTCTTTCAGTTTCTGTTTGACAGTTTTTGTTCGCTGCATTTTCTCTAGCAAGAAGAGAAGAGGGGTTTTATTTGACTTCAATGTTTGTTATTCTGGGGTGTCACTCTGTACACAGGGATAAGGCTACAGATATAAAGTACGATGCCTCTTACAAGATACAGCTTTATAATGCATCACATGAAAGGTGTCTCGGGAAATCCTCTATAATCCTCATATTCACACCAAAACTACAGTAGATCTGTTCTATGAAACAGCAGCAGTTTTAGATGTGTTGTGCTGAAGATACACATGAAGGATTTGCAGATTGAGATGAGACCTTGTCTTCACACCTGAAAATTGTATAGTGCCACATGCATATAGTAAAACAAAAGTTTTTATTTTGGTTTGGACAAATGTTTATGAATACATCTTCATAATAGTATAGACTTTAAGAGACACCATGTCTTATCAGTATATACAGCTTAGTGGATATTTTTTAAATGCTGCATGAGATAAGCTGTTATTATGCAGATCACGTACTCAGAATACTAAATATCCCAGAGTTGATCTGTCAGATTGAGTAACTCTAGATCAGCTGAAAGATTTGTCAAACAAACTCTTCCTAGTCATCCTCAGTGCTCAACCTCAGTCAACCTAAGGGGGGTGGGAGAAGGAGAAAAAGAAAAAAAAGGAAAAAGAAATATGCCTGATTTTTTTCCAGTTCCACAGATGTACACACCCATTTTTGTCTTCATACTGTGTTTGAGAACACATCTGCACTCTAGAAAGTACCAACTATTTTTTAAAGGCTAGCAGCACAAGTTGACCGTGGGGAAAATAAAAAGGAGCAGCGAAGTTCTTTAAAAGCAGACGTTCAAAGTTAACACCCTCTAAGAGGAAGATGCACAAGTCAGACTGTCACTGCTATGCACCCCAGGCACTGGAGTTTATGCATGTGACCACAGACACAGAACAGGCAACACAGTTCCCTGAACTCTTCAAGCACAAACCGAACCCCAGCCTTCTCTAGAAGCACAGACAACTCTTACATCTGAACTAATGAAGTCCCTCCATCCGTGGAAGGGGAGGAAGCGTACAGATTCCAGGCAGCAATACAGGTAATGCCTCGCTCCGTGAGGACAGTGAATAGCAAAAGAGAACAAGGGACAATACTTTTTCTTCCTTTAATGTAGGGCCTGTGACCGACAATCCAGCAATCTTCAGAACATAACCTTCATAATCTTTCTGTAGAGGATTATTAATCACATATCAAGTTTATTTCAAATACTGAAGAATTTGGTGTTTGCTTTAGATTTCATATTCAATAGCTTCTCTACAAACTTAAAAAAACCCCAAACAAACAAAACAAAAACAAACCCCAAAGAACTACACACAACGCTGACGAACTTCCAAAACAGCCACTGAAAACTCACTGAGTAGTAACTAAACTTAAGCAAAAAATAAACTACGCTACTTTTTTTCTCAACTTGTCGAGGAAAAGCACGCAATCTCCACCTCTGAAATCCAAACTTAGGGTTTTCTATCCGTTTCAAATGACTGTAAAAAGCTAAAGAATTTAACATCAAGACACTGAAGAGAAGTTCCCATTTACTTAAGCGAAAGTGGAAACAAAGCCAACAAAACCCAAAAGGCCTCTAAAGTATAGCTCTGGTTTGGGTGCGACCTGAACTGTTAGACCCAGATCTCAGAAGCGAGTGAGAGCAGGGAGGCGTGTACACCTCTGAAAGAAAAGTAAACACATTTTGCCCACGTAGGCAGTGATCCACAGTGTGACACAGCTGTTAGCTTATCTGCTGTCCCAAAGCCACAAGAGCTAAGAAGTCCGATACTGTAACGCTATGTTCCTAAACCTCAAATCCTCAACCCCTTCTCCCCGTTACCAGCTCTGCCTATAGCTTACGGCGGGAAGGATAATTAAGAAAATAACAGCATTGCTAGTCTCAGCACCATAAACACACGCAGAACTGGCGCTATGAAGTAACCTTTATCCATAAGCAGAGAGCACACGATCCACGACGGTTAGACTCGGCGTTCCCCCCAACACACACCCCTCACGCCCGTATTATTTCAAGCACTGTTTCACCTCGCACGGCTTCGCTTACACAAGATCCAACTCCTTCCCCCGCAACCCAACACCCACGGCAACAACCATGAGGCGGCACCGCCACAGAATCAGCAAGAGGGGAAGGAAAAAACCGCAAAACTAGGGCAGTATTTCCCGTCGGCCGTTACAAAACGGGGAGGTGACGCGTGTCCCCCCGCAAGGGGCCGAGCCCCCGCGGCGCGGCAGCCCGGCGGTTCGCCTCAGGCCCTCACCCGGCCGGGGAGGAGCAGCCCAGCGCTGGAGCCCTGCACCGGGCGGGAGGCGGGGGGGGTGCCCGGCCCCGGGCCCGCTGCACAGCCCGCTCCCCGCCTCACGGGAGGGAGCCCGGCACCCACCTGCACGGCGGGGAAGGCGCCCTTCAGCAGGTAGAACATCCTGCGGTTGGAGAGGAGGTCGCCGCTCGTCAGCTGCTCCTCGGCCCCCTCCCGCGTCTTCCCCTTCGCCTTGGCGTTGAGGACGTTGCCCTCGCGGACCCGCTTCACCTCCTCCCCGCCCCTGACGGCGGCCAGGACGGACACGGCCAGCAGCTCCCGCAGGTCCACGGCGCCGGCGAGCGCGGAGCCGCGGGGCGTCTCGGGCCCGCCGGCCGCCGGCTCGCTCAGCATGAAGAAGGCGAAGCGGCCGGCCAGGAAGCCGGAGTAGAGGTGGTAGAGGACGCCCAGCCCCAGCAGGCAGAACACGGCCATGCCGAGCGGCGAGAGGCGGATCCCCATGGGGGCCATGGCCGCGGGGCAGGAGGGCACGGCGGGGCGGGCGGGCAGCGGTACCGGGCGCTCACCACAGCCCCATGATGCCGCCGGGGCGCTCCGCTCCCTCTGGCTGCTGCTGCGGCGGCGGAGCCGGCCCGGCTCCACGCTCCTCAGCGGGCCGGCGGGGAGGCAGCGCCGTCTGTATCCGGGTCAGGCGGAGGCGGGGCCCGCCGCTCGCACTGAGCATGTCCCGCCGGCCACCGCACGCCCGGCGGGCAGCGCGATCGTTCCCCTGCTCTGCGGGTGTCCCGGCAGGAGGCTGGGAGAGCCCTCCTGGTCCCTGCCGCGGGCCTGCCTGGTAGCGCACACTCCCCTGCGCCCGCTGGTTCTCCTGAAACGTGCGGTTTGGGGTGGGTTTCGGGGTTTTTTTTCTTCATCTGCTTCTAGGCAGCAGGTGCGTGAGGAGCACGCACCTCCGGGCAGCGGTGGGGCCGAGGGAGCCGGCCCTGCCCGCTCCTGCCCGCTCCTGGCAGCGCGGCCGCCCGCGGGGGCTGGGGCCGGAGGCGGCTCGGAAGGACGGCACGACGGGCCGGGAAGGAGATTTCTGTTGGAAGGTGCTGTTGGCATAAATTGCCGCTTAATTTCTGAAGCTTTGCCGTTAACGGTTCTGAGCATCGTTGCTGAGCAGCATCTCGTGTCTTTCACCTACTGGTTAGGGAACTTCGGGACTCTCAGCCCCCTTGTGCTGCAGGAAAGGGGCTCGAAGTTAAGAATTCCTTTCATACAGTAGAATGAAGCAAATCCAACCGTTTTCTCAGCCAAGTGATGCGCTAAAGGCCTACCTGTCTAAATTTATACTTTTCTTTGCACCTCAGTTGGTTTGGGGGAGTGTGGAACTGCATGTTTATGACCAGGATGGACATCTGGGGTGGAAAGAAGGAAATCTCGGATTCTGTTTCTGTTCTCTTTTCTAATTCTCTCTAGTAGTTTTGAGTACGTTATATCAGAAACAAAAAAAAATTAATTCAGCATTGTTTGAATTAATTACACATTCTTTTACTCAAGCGATATTCTTGTCTGCTGATATACAGGTTATAAAAGCAGACCTGAGTAGTGACTCTGGGAAGAAGTAATTACTAGGGATCATGCAGTATAACTGTTTTCCTGGGATCTTGCATTTTATTTTTTTAAAAAATGTTAAACTTGTGTAATTGCGGCTGGTTGACCCTGGCTGAATGCCAGGTGCTCACCAAAGCAGCTTTATCACTCCCCCCTCCTCAGCTGGACAGGGGAGAGAAAATATAACAAAGGGCTCATGGGTCGAGATAAAGACAGGAGAGATCACTCACCAGTTACTGTCATGGGCAAAACAGACTCAGCTTGGGGAAAATTAACTCAATTTATTACCAGTCTACCAGAGTAGGGTAATGAGAAATAAAATCAAATCTCAGAACACCTTCCCTCCACCCCTCCCTTTTTCCAGGGCTCAGCTTCACTCCTGGATTCTCTACCTAACTCCCCCCAGTGGCGCGGGGGGACGGGGAATGGGGTTTACGGTCAGTTCATCACACGTTATTTCTGCCTCTTCATCGTCCTCAGGGGCAGGACTCCTCACACTCTTCCCCTGCTCCAGCGTGGGGTCCCTCCCACAGGAGACAGTCCTCCATGAACTTCTCCAATGTGGGTCCTTCCCATGGGCTGCAGTTCTTCACGAACTGCTCCAGCATGGGTCCCTTCCACGGGGTGCAGTCCTTCAGGAGCACACTGCTCCAGTGTGGGTCCCCTGCGGGGTCACAAGTCCTGCCAGAAAACCTGCTCCAGCGTGAGCTCCTCTCTCCACGGGTCCTCAGGTCCTGCCAGGAGCCTGCTCCAGCATGGGCTTCCCACGGGGTCACAGCCTCCTTGGGGCATCCCTCTGCTCCAGCACCTGGAGCATCTTCTCCCCCTCCTCCTTCAGTGACCTGGGTGTCTGCAGGGTTGTTTGTCTTACATGTTCTCATTCCTCTCTCCAGCTGCTGTTTCTGTCTGTCCCAGCAACTTTTTTTTCCCCTTCTTAATTCTGTTCTCCCAGAGGCACTACCATCGTCGCTGATGGGCTCGGCCTTGGCCGGCGGTGGGTCCGTCTTAGAGCCGGCTGGTATTGGCTCTGTCGGACACAGGGGAAGGTTCCAGCAGCTTCTCACAGAAGCCACCCCTGTAACCACCCCCCACTACCAAAACCTTGCCACACAAAGCCAATACAGTAATCAAGAATGTGAAAACTAGGAAAGAGCAAAATTAAGATTGGCCTTGCAAACTGAAGTTGCCATATCATCTCCTCTGCATTTCCTTTTTAATGGCATCTTCAATTACATGGTTACATACCAAATGTCCTGCAGAATCACACCCTCTCTGAGGTGTACATGCATGTACATGCAGGGACTGGAAATGAAATAAAGGACTGTAGGAAGAGAAAGCATTCCATTTGAAATGGGATTCAAAAGAGCTGGATTTTACTCTTAGCTATGCTGAGATTTAACTTTATATGCTATCAGGCAACAACTAGAAAGTCCACGTGTTCCAGCTTCCCATTCTTTTTAAGGTACAAGGTTTTTTTCTATGCAGTTGCTTCTCTGGCAGAAAGGGGGCTTGAAAGGATACACTGATCACTTTCCTTAATACCGATTTCACTATTCAGCATTTCATATAGCAATAATTAATGGTAAGAAGCTATGCAGCAACACAGGGTTCGTGTTGAACAAAGAGTAAAGTTGTGTCTGTAATGAGCCGTGAATGCAAGACTAACAACTAGGCATGCTTGTAATTTGTCCCCTTTTAAAAAATGCTGGGCAAAGTAGTCAACAGCTGTGCTGCCTGATGTTATCAGTAACACTTTATGTGTGTTCAGTAAACAGGACTTCTAAACTAGTGGCAGAGGAAACCCACTAGAAGGAAGAAAACCTGCAACTTTCTGAACTGGTTTCTTACTTAATGGGGAAAAAAAATACTAGGATTTTTGTCCCACTGAAGTTTGCAAAGACCTTACAGAGGCATAGAAGAATGATGGATTTAGTACTTGCTGCTAACATTTCTATGCCTGCAGTAAATATAGACAGTAAATATTAACAGTAGTGTAAACTGTGAAGAGGACAGTGCACAGAGGGCTCTTTATTTCAGTGATACTGTATGTACCATCTGTGCCAGGTTTCAGAATAAACAGTGTTTGTTGATGAATGCAATCACATAACCAATAGACAATATGCTGGCATCCTTTTTCTCCCTAACAGTCTTATTCTGTAATTACCAATATAATTTTTAAAGGTCTCAGTCTGGCACCTCCCATGCTGTTTTCCCTAGATTGGCTTCCTCATGTTTATCCAGGGTGCCGTTGACTTCAGCTGGGCTCCAGATCACCACAGAGATATTTGCAAAGTGCTTCTGGCATAAAGGGAGTTTGGGCAAGGTTTTCTTTATGGCTTCAACCTGTAAGATGTGTTTCCAGAGACCATGACGTAGGCACAAAATGAAATAAACTTGAAAAAAAAATTGTCTCCATTCTTAGCAAAAGGAGATTTATCCCTTTACTTGTGGCATAAAAATCTAATGGAAATTTTCCTTCTGAAAATACAAAATTATTATTTTGGACACTTTAGCTAATTGTGGGCCAAATAATTTGATGTATTTGAAAAAAAATAGTTTTGCCTGAATCAAACCAAGTTTTTAAACATATTTGTGTCTTTGACAGGAAAATTACATCCATCTCTAATACTGAAGTGATCCTTAACTGAGTGAAAAAAAGGTGCTCCAACCTGGATTGAAGCTGAGGATGCAAATCTGATGTTACATACATCCCTGTTAGATCTGTGTCAGCTGCCATCTTAGGAGGAGTCAGCCTTATGTGAAGGCAGCCCTGACCTTGAGGACCCAAACAACAGGCTTATGTGCTGAAAGTAATGTGCCCCTTTAGCTTCCCACAGAAACAGTTGCTGTGGAAGGGCTTGGCAGAGCTTCTCGAATGGGTTGCAGTGTGCTGGGAGTGAAATGTGTTGCTTTCTGTTAGGTTCATCTAACAGAGGCTGTGCATGACAGAGAGGCAATATGATACTGCAGTCTGACTCCCTCCCTGAACTTAGCAAGACCAATGGTTGTGCTGTTCACTGCAGCATTCATGAGACAAGTGGTGGTGACTTTGGCAGAACGGTGGTACTTTCAGTTCGGGAGGTTGACAAATGAAGGGGTCACTTGCTGGTAGGGAAAAGGCATTAACAGAGATGTGCTGAGCACCAGGTGGGGATCCCCAGGGAGCACAATGAGGAAAGTTATGTAGGTACTGGTAACCTCTGACCATTGCGAGGGAAGTCAGTGCTGGAGAAGAGAGAGCCGTGGCTGTACACAAAGCTCCTGCTCGTGCTATGGCTGCGTGGGGAGCATGCCAGAGCACAGGGAGTTTTGTGTCTCTGATGGGTAGAGTCTGTGGCAAGAGTGTATAAAGTAGTGAGCTCCCATCCTTGCCCGGGCTAGCAGTTTTTTGTCAACAGTACTTCACAGTGTAGTATATTGCAATAGCTGCTTTGCTAGCGTCAGCACTGACTCATGTGGAAAAGGAAGCAGTGCCCGCATCTTCCAGAGCTGCAGCAGTGCAACCAGGTTAACATGGTCTGTCAGCAGCAACAGAAGTGCTGTCTTGCTGGTTGTTTCTCTGTGACTCCTGCCTAACCCTGATGGTTTATGAAGGCACTCACGGGCAACCTCCTTGAGCATTTGGGGTGTGTGTCTGCAGCTGTAGTATGTCTGTGGAAGAGACGGGGAGTCTCTCAGGGTCAGAGCTGAGTTTGATCTGCAGCACATGAAAAAGATCTCCTGTGCCTGTGCTTCTGAGAGGCCCAGAAAGAGCACGTGGCTGTTGAATGGGACCAAAGTACTTGAGGGGAACCTGCTGTGCAAGTGCTAGCACCAGCTGCAGCCACTTCACTTCCCTGCCCACGCTGGGAAGGTAGTCCATGAGGGAGGCCCGTACTTACTATTGAGTGTAAAGTCTTTTGTAGTGTGGGGTAGCTTTCCCTTGCATAGAGTGTTTGGTGCAGTGTGTGTGTATGGGGAGCTATGAATAGTCATTGCTGGGTTTATGCAATTGGGTTCTTCCTTCTTCCCCTCTCCTTTCTTTTCTCCTTATATTTCCTGTGCT